AATCTTCCTGGACTTCTGAAGACATCCTGCCCCCGAAGATTCTCTGTAGGCAGTAAGCCTTCTCACTCTCTTTTTGGAATGTTTGCAGACATCCAAAGTCTGGTATCTCCTTGGAAGCCTCTTCCATCTTCCTGCAGCATCCTTAGGGTGTAGAGCCTCACCTGCTGGGGCTCCTGAAATTTCCTCAGTCTCTTGTGCCTCAAGAAGCCTCTGAACCTCAAGTCTAGGGACAATTGAAATCTAATGTGAATACAGGCTGGTGCTGATGCAGCCATTTTCTGAACTTGATTTGGAAATGCTGTGAGGGCTGAGTATTGCTGCCATTGTCAGTTCAAATTACATGTGCACAAAGCTTTTTCATCTGAATCAGGCATCCAGCTTATCTCTTTTCAAACACTTCCTACTGTGGACGATGGAAAGAAAAACAAGGGACTCCTTGCTCATTTAGTTGGTTCAGATTCCCCACTGCCCCTCTCCAAGAGAGAAAGACCAGGGTAAGGCTTTCTGCCAGCTACGGGGTACTTTAAATGACTGTGTTATAAACAGTAGATAAAATATTGGCACAGTTGAACTAGTGATCTTCCTTCAGCCTGCGTTAACAGTCTGCATTTCTTTCATAGCTCTCCTTAATTTGATAATTGCTTATAGTGTTAATCAAGAGGAGGGAAATGAAATTTTGCAGTGAGATTTAGTTGTGTAGGTATGATAATCACATGTTTCTCATTATCATCTAAAACACAGTAGCACACAGTTGCCACAATGCGTGTGGCTTCATAACTCTAATAACATTGGCAAGAAGGGAAACAGCCAAAAGAGCACAATCAATTCCAGTTACCTGGATGGAGCTTTGGGAAAGTATAAATAATCTAAATTCAAAATTGACTTATTCTTTTTTTCATAATGGTTGATGTGGACTCAAAAATATTTGCTAAAATTTAATTTCTTCCTTTCTTCTCTTTTTTCCCTTTCCCTACTGATTCATAATATTACCAAAAGTAGGAAGCCAAAAAATAAAAAATAAAGCAGACAAAGACAGACAAGCCACAACATATACTAAGCCTGAATCATTAGAAATTGGTTTCTAAAAAATATATTCATATATAAAATCTCCATTTCTGCTCCCATGTTCTGACTCTGCTATTGCCATGTAATTGTCTGTGAAGTTTGATGGGTGCCAGGTCTGTGGGTGCTCAGGCAAGGCAATTTAGCTTATAAGTGCTTTATCCTATGGAACATAGCTTGATCCCACTACCTGCTGGAGGAGTCACAGATGGCTAGAGAGTAGCTTTTGACATGAATTGATATTCTCATTCAAGTTTATGTCCAAGCAAATCAGAGCCTGCTTCATAGCTATTTATCTTCAGTGTCCTGTGTGGCATAATGGGGCTCTGGGGTCTTACCCACCGGATCCCCAGTAGCAGTGAAATGTGTAGGAGGCCTAGCAATAAGGGCGAGCTATGGAACATGTACGCCAATCATTTTCTGTAACTCTTTTTTCCTTTGCATTCCCAGATGCCAGGACCTTCAGATGGAGATTTCCACTCTTCAGGAGCAGATCTCTCATCTGCAGTTTGTGATTCACTCCCAGCATCAGAATCTGCGCAGTGTCATCCAGGAGGTCAGATAATCTAGTATATTTCTAGTATATTAATCTAGTATATTTCTCTGGGAGATGGTATGTTTACAGTGTGGAGCCCAAATACAAGTGGCTTGCCTGGACTTTAGAAGCAATGAGATTTCTCTCCCTACTGACATATCCTTTTTTGTTTCTCATCCAATATGGCTCTGTTTTCAATGCCCTCTCTTGTTTGTAACACCAACACCTGTAATGTTCTCAATGAAGATAGCTTGGAAAATCATGTATAACTGTTTTTTTTTATTTTTTTTAATTTATGTTTCAGTGATTTTCTAAAATTCTTTTGAGCCAAATAATGTATACTGGTCTTTAGACAAATTTATAGATCAGGAGATTGAGCCCTTCCTTGAGCATAAAATGATCTGTTTTCATAACCTCATGATTTATTTAGGAGGTGTTTTAGGTTAGGTGTGTAGCCTGGCCCTTCTTCTCTGAGAGCAGCCTGACAGGTGGCAAAGCAGATGGGATTGTGGTAGCAGCCAGCTAGATGATGAAGCGTGTATTTAAAATCTACTTCAAGGTATGCTGGGGAAGATGTGGAGAAATAGGAATGCTTTTACACTGTTGGTGGGAGTGTAAATTAGTGCAACCATTGTGGAAAACAGTGTGGCAATTCCTCAAGGATCTAGAAACAGAAATACTGTTTGACCCAGCAATCCCATTATTGGGTATATACTCAAAGGATTATAAATCATTCTATTACAAAGACACATGCACATGTTGTATTCATTGTGGCACCATTTACAATAGCAAAGACTTGGAACCAACGCAAATGCCCATCAAGGATAGACTGGATAAAGAAAATATGGCACGTATATACCATGGAATACTATGCAGCCATAAAAAATGATGAATTCATGTCCTTTGCAGGGACATGGATGAATCTGGAAACCATCATTCTCAGCAAACACAAGAACAGAAAACCAAACACCGCATGTTCTCACTTATAGGCAGGTGTTGAACAATGAGAACACATGGACACAGGGAGGGGAGCATAACACACTGGGGTCTGTTGGGGACTGGGGGGTTAGGGGAGGGATAGCAAGGGGTGGGGAGATTGGGGAGGGATGACATTCAGAGAAATACCTAATGTAGGTGACGGGGGGATGGAGGCAGCAAACAACCAAGGCATGTAACAAACCTGCAAGATCTGCACATGTACCCCAGAACTTAAAGTGTGTGTGTATATATATATATGCATTGATCTGCTTTTGGGTATCTGTTTCAAAATTTAAAATCTATTCTATTCAATTATTATACTGCCAATTAGAAGTCCTCCCAAATAACTCCAGAGCTTTTCTGACATAAATATAGCATTTGTGCTTGCTTAGCTATGACCTCACTAAAAGGCCAGAGAATTGAGTAGTGTAATTTGAGAGAGCCAGGAGGGACTTTGGGGGCCACTCCACATCCTCTTTTTACAGAGCAGTTTAATGACAGCTAGTGGTGGCAAAGTTATTTTAGAATCCATGTCCCCTCTCTTCTTGCACCATTTTGAATCTCATCACCCCACCTCCCAATTCCACACTGCCTCTTGGCAAAGCAGGCTCACCTTATCATGTGGCTGATTGACAAGTCTCTACTTCAGGGAGCCTCTGCACACCTGGCAGCAGCCTTCATCCTGTCCACCAGCAGCTGCATCTGCAGGATGAGAACATTAAGTTGCTGAGATGCAGAAGGACGGCCAGGGCTACTTTCACAGGACACACTCCTGCTGAACTTGGTTTAAACAGGTTATCCAAAGATTAAAGTGAATAACAGCACCAGCTGAGGGCTTTCAGCCCCAGGTGTCAATTTGGCCTGGTATTTTCTGTTGCCTGCTGAGTCTGCTAATGCTTTGGGATTTAATTTTTTTTTAATTTGATGAATATCTTCTGACCTCAGACATCCATACAATTTCTGACTTAAGTAACTATTTCCTGTGGTCTGACAAGATTTTTCCTATTGTGTTTTCTAATTCACAGATGGAAGGATTAAAAAATAATTTAAAAGAACAAGACAAAAGAATTGAAAATCTCAAAGAAAAAGTTAACATACTCGAAGCCCAGGTAAGGAGGGAATCTGTCTTACATTTTGTTATGAGGGTGTGAGTGGTGTGCGTATATGTATCTGTGTGCGTGAGGGTGTCACTATCAGTGAGCCTGTGTATGCAAGTGTGCAACTGTAAGCCTGTATAACACTGAGTATGTCTGTTTGGGAGCGGGCATGCCAGTGTCTGTGTGACTGTGTATGCTGTGTCTGTCTAAGTATATGTGCGTGTGTCTGTGTGCATCCAAGTGTCATTTTGTGAGTGTGTGTATGTGCATCTCCCATGCATAAGAAATTAGCGCTATGGAAAAAAGGAGTGACAATTTAATGATTGCTAAATTATGAAGTGTTTAAAAGATTTTATTATGTTATTAAATTACTAGCATTATTAATGTTAAATATTATTAATGTAATTAAATGACTATGAAAAGTTCGCTTAAATTTTCCAGAATACTTGCTGTAATGGAGAGACAGATGATAACCTCTCTTGATACGGACTTGAATCAGAAGCTTACTCAAGTCCACTCTTGTGGAAATTCCACTCTAGCCAGATGGCCAGGCTTTCTGTATCCTGCCTTTGTTCCCACACATGATCCTTTCCTGGTTTGGGATGTCCTCTTTTCTCCTTTCTTCATTCATATCCATCCTGGCCTCCAACCTTTGCCTCCAGGCTTACCCACTTCTAGAAGCCTGTTGTAATGGCCTTGCTTTTCAGTGTTTTCAAACTGAGCACAATACATTCTAATGTCCTAGGATAAGATATGCTTTTCCTCTCTCCCACTCAGACCCCCTTTCCTCAGGACTCCTGTGTTAGTCTGCTCTCATGCTGCTAATAAAGACAAACCCGACACTGGGTAATTTATAAAGAAAAAGAGGTTTGTGGACTCACAGTTCACACGCTGGGGAGGCTTCACAATCATGGCATGACAGAATGTGGAAACCGTGGCTTACATTGGCAGCAGGCAAAAGAAGTGTCAGCAGGGGAAATGCCAGAAGCTTATAAAACCATCAGATCTCGTGAGAACTCACTCGCTATCATGAGAACAGTATGGGGGAAACGGCTGCCATGATTCAACAATCTCCACCTGGCCCTGCCCTTGACACGTGAAGATGATCACAATTCAAGGTGCAATTTGGGTGGGGACACAGACCAAAACCATATCAACCCCCTTGCTGGCACTCAGCTGCCGTCCTCGGCTGGCAATGCCCCTGCCTTGCGGGAAGTGCAGTGAAGCCGCTGCCAAGGCTGGAGCTCCTCTGGAGACCCCACAGCAACTCCACTTCAGCTCCGTTTCTTGCTGTGTCTCTGCTTCTGTCCCTGTCAAATGGTGCATCACCCACTGCCTGGAGCTGGTAACCTGTTCTACTCTGTCCCTCAGTACTTTGATTTTCTGCTCATTGTCACCTACCAATGTAAATGTTGTCCAGTCCTATGGACTGTGGAGATGCCTCAACTTCCCACTGGAGGCCTTATCATCTTTTGGAACTGTTCCTTCCACTACCGTGTTTTTTCTGCTTTCCCCAAAAAGAAGATAAAAAATCATAAGAACAGTTTTTTACATCTAAATTTTTTTAGCCTCATTTTCCATTTCTATTTTCCTGGGGGACAACTGTTCTTTGGTTTTGAGGATAGACCTCATTGAACCTCACACTCTTGTTAGATTCTCACCCTCTTCAGGTTGTATGGGACTGAGTAACACACTGCTGTCAGCTCTGTGCAGCTAAAAATGCCTTGATTGTGGAATAATTGGCTCAAAACTAGTGTTCACCCAAGTGCCCAGTAATAGCTGGATAATTTATATCAGGGGACCTTCGGATTATGTGATTCATGTCGCAGTGGCGCCTCCTATGAAATGTTCTCTAAAGACATTTCTTCACTCCCTTTCTTACTTAGAGGCAAATGTTACTTGATGAAATATTTTTTCTTGTATTATTACATGTAGCAATATATTTGAGACAGTGCCTCACTCTGTCGCCCAGGCTGGAGTGCAGTGGCATGATCTTGGCTCACTGCAACCTCTGCCTTCCTGATTCAAGTGATTCTCTTGCCTCAGCCTCCTGAGTAGCTGGGATTACAGGCGCACGCTATGTCACCTGGATAACTTTTGTATTTTTAGTAGAGACAGGATTTCACCATACTGACCAGGCTGGTCTCAAACTCCTGACCTCAGGCGATTTGCCCAACTCTCCCTTCCAAAGTACTGGGGATTACAGACATGAGCCACCACACCCAGCCTATTTCTTACACTTTTTATGTAACTGACATTCATTCATTCCATATAAGTTAGGACACATGGATATACAAATAGAACAAGAAAATCACAGATAAAAGTACCATCCGTGGGTACCAACTCAGCACGGTTGGGTATATATGTGTTTTGTGGGAATCTGTGTGCCTGTTATATACCTGTGTATACATATTAACTATAGAATATATATGGCGCTGCACTATGCCTATCTATTGTATTCTCATTTTTAAGCTTTCATTTTTCATTTTTCCACATCATGAATTATGTAATTACTTCTACACTTAATTACTGAGTGGTTACTAGGATATAGGCACTAAATTCTGGAAAGCAGTGCTGAAGAAAGTAGACATGAGCCCTGCTCTCTGGAACTTACTAGCTAGTGAGTGTACTTGAAATGCCTTTTTATTCTGGACTAAATTCTTATTGAAACCGTTCCAACAGCAAATCAGCCTATTTTGGCTCCAATAGCTTACTGCTTTAATTATTGTTCATCTGTAATGTGTTTTAATTGAAGAGATTGTTTTAGGGTTGGCATTGTTTTCAGATCTTTTGCTTCATATGGCTCTGGGCTCTGCTCATACCTAATTAAGTGCCCATTCTTATCACAAAGTCAAGGTGTAAATGGTACTACTGTCTCTAATTCAATTTTGTGTTCTTTAGTTGTGTCTATTATTTATAATGTTCCCAGTGAGGGTTTTATCTTCCTAAATAAACTGACAACCCAGATACCGTACATTATCCAGCTGGCCTGTTGGTTAAACAGTTAGACCAGGAAGATGTATTTGTTTCCATTGTACTCTGTTTGTATATTCCAAAATTCGGCAAATGATTACTGACTATTCAGCAATTATGTCACAGAAATAGATGTGTGTCCCTCTCACCTCTCATGGAAACTTCTTGGCTTGTGACAGACTCTCTACAGTAATGTGACGGCACTTCTCAGTGTTGTCTTAGATTCTCTGTATGTAGCTCAACCCAAGACAGCGTTTTTTTTTTCTTTCTTTCTTCCTTTTTCTTTTCTTTCTTTCTTTCTTTCTTCTCTTTCTTTCTTTCTTTCTTTCTTTCTTTCTTTCTTTCTTTCTTTCTTTCTTTCTTTCTTTCTT